CCCTACTTCATCGGCAGACTTTAGTTTGATTCTTATCAGCCCAAAGGTCGTGGATTCAGCAAAGGCCCAACCGCCAGATGCTGAAATTGAAATGGAGTAGCCCTGGAGCCGATTGGGTGACGAAGGAGGATTGAGGAAACGCAAACCCAAGCATCGATCAAGATTATTTATTTCTGGCTTTCTGCGTCTGCTCATCTGCGATGTAGAGGTTCATCAAACTCCGAAATGAAAGGCTTTCATAAAAATTCTCGTAGACGAAAGCTTTATAAAGCTTTTTTTATCATCAAAATAAACCGCTTTATGTTAATATCATAAGAAATCGGATCGTTACAACAAAATTAATAAGACTAACACTGACAATAATTATCCCTGACCAACTAGCACTATCAACCTTATGGCTAGACTCAGAGACGATCACCCCTAAAAGAGCAATACGAATCGCTAACCACCAAGCGGGTGTGACACAGCAATCACTGGTCATAAAGATCTTTCCATCGACATAATATTTAGCTAAAATGTCAATTATTATTGCAGAGCTAAAACTAAAGACATAAACAAAAACAGAGCAACGTAAAGCATAACACAAAAATAAAACCATGAAAAATTAAATAACTGATAAAACTTCCAAACCCTAGCAACTCGATCGCTCCAAGGCGACGGTTCAGAAGGGGGCGGACCGCCAATCTGTCTTCTCCTTTGCTCAGCCCTTCACCTCTCATCATCTTCTCGTCGCCCGTGCTACATCCACTACCAACACTGCCCTCTATCCGTGCTGTCAAAAACTAACCCTCCAACTTCCTCCTCAATTGCAGGACTGAGCCAACGTTGGTCTAGATCATTCATAGGAGTCATAATTATCCTTTGTTGAACCTTGAATTCGTTTCCAAAAGCTGCTGCTACACTCGCTCCTCCTAATCCGAAAGCCAGAAACAAGAATCTAAAATCAAGAAACACTCTATAGAGAAGAAGAGCCGCACAAACAATTGGTGGAAAGAAAACCCTACGTGACGGCAAAGTCGTTAGGGAGGAAAAACCTTACGCAGCAGAGCCGCTAGGGAGGAAAGAATCCTACACGGCAGAGCCGCTAGGAAGATCGGAAGGAGTCGGCTCCGCACAAAGAAGCGTCGAAACTTTCCGTACAAATGGTCAATCTCCTAATTACCAGTGGCGTATCCACTATGGGGGCAGCGGGGGCAGCTGTCCCCACTCAACCCCAACCCAACCCCTATATATATGTCCAAATTTTTATAAGAAATTGCTCAAAATAAGAGTTAAATGTAGGAAAAAAATTTAAAATAAGATTAAAAGTGTTTTCTTTAATATTAAAAGAATGAAAGGCTAAAAAATTCACCAAATTTTGTTATGTTTAACTTATATTTAGGTAATTTTATTACATTTTATCTTCAATTACATCTTTACACACCCGTACTATAAATTAATCTTCTTTTTATTCATACTTTTACATAGATATTATAAACTAAATTTAATCAAACAATATTAATAATGTGATTTGTTATTTGTAAAATATGAGACTAAATTGTAGTCAAGTTTGCCCCCACTCGCCAAATTTCCTGGATACGCCACTGCTAATTACTGAGATTTTTTCTTAATTAATGCTAAATAAAAAAGTATTTACCAAATTGATGTTGAGTTAAGATTATTTCCCAATGTGCTGTTAGTGGCTAACTCGGGTTAACAAAAACGGCTTTCCCATTGCCGACTTACATGTAGCACGTACAAGAATTGGGCGCAAGACAAAATTGGAGAAAGACAATAGTGGGACCCAAAAATTAAAAAAACCTCATTTTTTTTGTGATCGTAAAAAAACCCCAAGTTTTTAAAAAGTGATTTAACATTTTTATTAATACTAGAATTGTTATAAAAAAAAATATCAAAGTTTATAACATTTTATTATCTTTCATATGACACCAATGTCTAATATATAAAAATTTAATAAATAAATTAACATTGTAAAAAAATTCTGATTTTTAAAGCGTTATAATTTTTTTATTTGTATCCCAAATATTTTAAAAATATATCAAAACTCATAACTTTTATACATTTCATATGAAACCAATGTTTCATGTTACAAAATTATTTTTAACAGATGAAGTTTCATATGAGACTAAAAAAATCGCAATCTTTTTAAACAAATGAGGTACAATGCATTACAAAGGTTTTATTTCTAACCATGCGATATTGATTTCATATGAATCATAATAAAAAGTTATGAATTTTTATATATTATTAGTATCAATTAGATTGCAAAAAAAATATTAAAACCTAGATGTTACAAATAATATATACTTATATGAAATGTACAAAAGTTATGAATTTTGATATATTATTTGTAACAATTAGAGTACAAATAGAAGAGTTATAGCACTTTAAAAAATTGAAGTTTTTTTAAAATTCAAATTTATATTTTAGTATGCATGAAATATTGGTGGCACATGAAAGATAATAAGTTTTGAATACATACATACATATATATATATATATATATATATATATATTAGATCATTGGAGTACAAAAAAAGTATATGACTCTAAAATACAAATTTGTTCAAAGTGCTAAATTATTTAGGGAAAGTTCTCGAAATAGGACTAAATAAGTTTGAAAATTCCAAAATAGGACTGTCATGTTTTTATTCCCAAAATAGGAGTAATTACTGTCAAGTTTGGAAAATACTGTCATTTTTAAAGTTTGGTACTGCCAAAACATGGCAGTAATTAGTCTTAGGGAGTGTTTGCAACTGCTTAAAAAAGGCACTTCTCAGCTTTTGGTTTTAAAAAGCACTTATTTACCAAACACTACCAATTTTTACTTTTTCTCGGCTTGCGTGTGAAAAGTGTTTTTCTCCTTTTTATTACACAAAAAGCACTTATTTTATCAAACACTACCAACTTTTACTTTTCAAAATCACTTTTTTCTCAAACACTATCAACTTTTACTACTAATCACTTTTTCCTTACATCTCCAAAAGTGCTTTTTTTAAGCAGAAGCATTTGCAAACACTCCCTTATTTTGGGAATAAAAACATGGCAGTCCTATTTTTGGAATATAGAAGTGCTTTTAGTCCTATTTAGAGTAATTTCTCAATTATTTATTATTTCTTATTAGAAATATCAGACTCGTATGAATGATAAAAAAAAGTTATGAATTTTTATATATTTTTAAAAATATTTGGGATACAAATAAAAAAAATTATAATGTTTTAAAAATCAGAATTTTTCAACAGTGATAATTTATTTTTTTAAAATTTTATATATTTAAAATTGGTGTCATACGAAAGATAATAAAAAGTTATGAATTTTGATATATTTTTTATAATAATCCGAGTACTGATAAAAAACTCAGATCACTTTTTAAAAATTTGGGATTTTTTATTTTTTTGGGGTCCCACCACTGCCTTTCTCGAATTATATCCGGCGCCCAATGCTTGTAAGCCGGCAACGTGATTGCCGATTTTGTTAACCTTAGTTAGTCCAGAGCAGTACAAAGGGAAATACTCCGTATTATTAACTCAACATCAAATTGGTAAATAACTTTTTGATCAGCATTAATTTGGAAACAATCTCCTAATTACTCGGTATTATTTTAGGGTGTGATTAAGATTGTTTTATTATTATTTAAGTTTTTTAAGGCTCTGTTTTTGCTTGCTTTGACTTCTTTGACTTCTTTCAGAATTGTTGAATTGAGATTAATATACTCCATATCTCAAATCATTCAGTTTAGGAATAAGGATGTTTTCTTTTGGACTCTTTTCAGTCCCACACTAGACCTGATCAGACCAGACTTTCGTAGTTATAAAATACACAGAGACAAGACGTTTACTAGACCAGACCAGACCAGACCAGACCAATAAATTTCAGTCCAAAAGAAAACATCCTAAAATGGGAATTTCCATTCTGCTTTTGCTCCATCGCATTACATCTGTATATATTTCACATATGTGATATAGTATAAGGGAGTATTTGCAAAAGATTAAAATAAGTGCTTTTCAGCTTTTGGTTTAAAAAAAAGCTTAGATAAGTGTTTTCAAATGACAACTTCTACTTAAATTAATCACTTAAAAACTAAAAGTTGAAAGCAAGTTGAGAGTTGATTTAAACTGCTTTTCACCTTTTCTATTACACAAAAAGCACTTATTCTATCAACACTACCACCTTTAAATTTTTCATAATCATTTTTTTCAAACACTACCAATTTTTACTATTAAACACTTTTGGAATTCCCAAAATCACTTTAAAAGATCACTTTTTAAAGTAGAAGCAACCGCAAACACTCCCTAAGGATATTTGGAACTGATTCTGGTTCTACTTCTTTTTAAAGGAGAAGCGGAATCAGTTTTCAGAAACTGGTCTCCCTCAACTTCTAAAAAGTTGCTTCTATAAGTATATTCGAGCACCAAAAGTAGTTCTGCGCTTTCACTCAAACACTTCAGCTTCTGCTTCTGCTCTCTGAGGGAGTAGAAGCAGTTTTAAGAATCAGATTCAAACATCCCTAAATCATTGTATTTTCTCTTACTGTTTTACAATTTCAATATTTTGAGTTTTGATAAATTTAGTTGTCCCGCTCAAATTTTCTTCTAATTCTGCCACTGCTAATATGTCAAATAGGGCCGCCAATCTCATAAACTCTTCATTTCACTACATGAGAATTGAAAAGAAACCCGCACGGATAGCTCAATTGATCGAGTGATGGGAAATTTGGATCAATGGACCAAGGTTCGAATCCCCACATCGATCAAGTGGAGGTTACAGAACCTGAAATAAGGCTAGACCTACTGTCACTTTGCTGACTGAATCACCATGACTTACTCATTCACCCTTCTGTCGGGTCGGGGTGTGAGCTTCTGGGGTGGGAGATTCCACCTTTGGATCGACGAGAATTGAAAAGAAACAATAATAGCGTGAGCAACCTAACACTACAACAAAAAGTCACGGGACGTTACAAGACAAAACTATGTACCGTACGTGAATGTGAGCAAAAGGCCCACCAATTATTCTTACCCAGCCTATAAATCAGACCTTTTAACTTTTTCTTCGTTTTTTTTTCGCATTTTGAATTTATGAGATTCCTTTTGTAGTTTTGTTAAAAACTAATACTCGTATTAAAAATCTTCTGGGCTTCTTCAATTACTTGTATCGATCTCCGATGGCTGCCACATTGAAGTTAGTAGCTCTTCTTCTTCCACTATTTGCAGCCGTATCCTTGAGCTTTTCCGTAACTCCAATCGCCGCCCTCTACGTCGGCGTTGACGCTCAGACCGGTCTTACCTTGGTAATTGAATTGGACTCTTCCCTTTCTTTCATTTCCGCACTCCCTTTTTCATTTAAAGTTTTAGTTATACTTTTCTATTTAAACTCCTTTTACATTTTAAATTTATGTACTCAAACTCTGTCATATTCAAATTATATGTTTTATGAACTAATAGAACTTTTAACGTGTAATTTAAATGTGTAAATTGTACGGATCGGAGTAATTACTAACACTAATTTATGCATTATTATTTTTTTGACTGTACTAAATACTAATTTATGCATTATTAGTTGACAATTCGTTTTTTTTGAACGAGATGTCAATTCGTTTTATTACTCTTAATTCGTATATATTTAGTTGCAAGTTGTAACAATATGATATTTACACTTCCGAATTTTACTATTCATGCATATACTACTTAATGCTGCGCTATTAGTAAATATATTACAAAGGGAATCTTATTTTGAAATTTTATATTAAAAATTAACAATCATTTTGTAATATGATTTTTTAATAAATTAAATTTGGTCAAAGCATATGTAAAAAGTGTAAAAGCCAAACCGTAGCGTGAAATTGAATAAGAGGAATTGTGCATGTTAACTCCTATTTATGCTATTTATTTAAAAAAAAAACTATGGACATCCTAATAAATGTTAAAATATTATACTCTCATTAATAATCTCTGTGTTGGTCGAATAAACAAAAATACTTGAAAAGTTCATAATTATAACCTCAAGTCCTTAACATCATCATAAAAATGAATAATAAGCTAATTAAAGGTGTTATGTACCTTTTTGGTTAATTTTGTTTGCATGTTCAATGAAGTGCAAATTTTTAAAAACATTAACAATACTATATACTCCCTCCGTCCCGAAAACAACTTCCCGGTTGGACTTTCACACACTTTTAGGAAATAAATTTGACTTTGTTGTAGAATGCACTGTTTTGCACTGTTCAAACACTGTTTGGCATTGTTCAAACACTGTTTGACACTATTTAAACACTGTTTGGCACTGTTTATCACTTTTTTGATGTAGATAATTTGCCAAATAAGGAAAGTATTGAAGTGTGAAGTTAATTTTGGGACATCCATTTAAGGAAAGTGGGAAGTTGTTTTCGGGACGGAGGGAGTATATTTGATTCTAGACTGATTTTCACTTTGAATTAAATATTAGGTTTTTTCATAAAATTTATATAGTAAATATACACTTCATATGAACCAATACTCATCAATCTTCTTTACTCTTTTAATTTTTATCAATGTAAGAATGCAAATTATGCGAATTTTATTTTTAATTTTTATCAAGTAAAAATATGAAGCATATGATGATTATTTTTAACTGAGTCAATTTGGATAATATTCTATCTCTTATAGTTTGCAACAGATGAAATGCCAATTTATCATAAAAATTATTTTATAGAAAAAAGGCAAATAAGTCATCGAACTATTTGCAATTTTGCAATCAGGCTCATGAACCGAAAGACTTGCAGATACACCCCTCAACACGTTGAAAATTAAGCAATTAGATACTTTTCACCTGCTGGTGCCAATAATTTCTCATCTCCTTACCTGCACCAACGGGTAAAAAAGGGTCCAATTGCTCAATTTTCAACGAGTTGAGGGGTGTATTTACAAGTCTTCTGGTTCAGGGGTCTGATTGCAAAATCGCAAATATATATAGTTCGAAGGCTTATTTGCCCTTTTCTCATTATTTTATGGTTACGTAAAACATTTCCTGACCCTTTATATATTCAAAAAAGTTTTAAAATTTAGACATCAATAATCCCAATTTTGAAAAATACAAGTAAATAATCTCAACTTGGTAACACTTTCACAAAAAATGAACCAACACACATCAAAGTAAACACTGTAAAGTGATTGTTTATTTTTGTGAAGCGATAACAAGTAGATATTATTATCTTAAACTTATGCAGTAGACTAAGTATTACGGAGTATTTTTGTATAATGTGTAAAATTAGGAATTATAGCCTATTGGTGTCAATTTAGTCAATATTGTAGGGTTCTTTTTGGGATAACTAACCCCACATGCATGGATATTCTTATCATTTTGAGAAGTACAAAAAAAATATTCGGTAATTAACCACATAAATTTTATTATAATATTGATGTATTCCCTGATTTCCCTCCTTTGTCGTTCTCAGTTCAAATTATTCATTTGGATTTTTTTTCATTGCTTGATACTTTAGGATAAAGAGTGTAGTAGAACTTGTGAATCCAAGTTCTGTGGAGGTAAGAAAAATTGCCCTGCATATAAATTTAAACTTTGTTTAGTTAATTAACTGTGGTTCTAATGAGATTACCTAGCTAAAGCCTAGCTAGTAAGGTGACTGATTAAATTACTGATTATTCATTAATTTATTGACTGATGAAATGGGATATGGAAAGTGCCTCCCTTCCTAAGATATGGAAAATACTGTGGGCTGCTCTACAGCGGATGCCCAGGAGAGAAGCCGTGTGACGCCCTTGATGCTTGTTGTATGCTGCATGATGATTGCATTCAAATCAATGGCAGTAAGTTTTCTTATTGTTCCGTTATTATTTAGAAGTTTTTTTTAAATATATTACTGAAATTAAATTTATTTATTTATAAAAATATGAATAAAATCATTTTAAGTATAGTGTTATGATCATTTACATGGAAAAGTTGAACATTAATTACTATGATTAAAATTAAGTAGGGGTAATTTGAGTTTGCATGCCATATTATTGTTTAAATTGGACTTTGCACCCCGTTTTAAAAAATCTTTGTTTTTGCACCCCAACCCCATATGGAAAGACAAAAATACCCCTCCATTAACAGTTTTGTCGAGCTTCAACATATTCCTGATTGAAGGCATTTTTGTCTTTTCATATGGGTTTGGGGTGCAAGAACAAAGTTTTTTAAAAAAAAGTCAAATTTCAACAACAATATGTGATGCAAACTCAAATTACCCCAATTAAGTAATACTACAGTCACTACAATGTCTAAATGTAAAAGGTCTTATTATTGTAATCAGTCTTTTTTTAATCATAAATTTGAAACCTTTTCTATTATTTATTATTAAAATTTGTTACAAAAGAGTAATATGTGACTCACACACTTCTACTTTGGAAAAAAATTATTTTTTTGATTTTTTAGTGACTAAATAAGTCTTTTTTTGGGAAGAAAACATATATACTTAATCTTTTTTTAATAACTTTATTCATGTTTTACTCCTATTTTTAGCAATCCTGTATTATTAGTATTGTGGACAATGACTTTAATACACTACAAGGTACCACAAATCAATCAATAATACGGTGTAATATATACGTAGTATTATATTATAGAAATCACTACATCATATCTCAACTATTTAAACACATAAAAAATGACAGGAAGCTACTTTCGTCCCTCAAATCAAGTTATTTAAATCATCGAAAAAAAGTACCGAACTATCAGACCATATCAGACTAGACAATATAAAGAAACCAGACATTACCAGACCAGTTCAGATTAGACAAAACCAGTAAATTACAGTCCAAGTAAAAACATCCTAAATAAGGATGATTTGATAATTTTATATCGTTTTGTATATACTTCGTATTATAGAAGCGGACAAGGGGTTTGATGTTATAAAATACTCCGTAGACCGTAGCTCAATGGCTGAATGTTATTTTTGTTATATATTTAAACTAGTTTTCAAACCCGTGCATAATTTAGCTAATTTTAGACTAAGTTTATTTAGCTAATTTTAAATTTCATTTTTTCAAAATCATATACTACGTATAATGTGATGCAAAAACAAAATAAACTCAGTCTAAATATAGAGTCCGTTTGATAATAATAAAATGAGTTGAATTAGCTTATTTTGCTGAAATAGATTAAATTCTGGCTGAATGGGTTGAATAGACGGAATCTCGCGAATCATGAAGAAAAAAAAAATTCCAATTGTAGAATAAAAAAATTATATTTGAAAAATAATTAAAATGATCTTCTACATAAGCATCTCAACTAAACATAGTTGTTTTGAATTTGATTTTAAAGAATTCAGTCATTCACAAAGAAACTCCTTAATTAATCTCACATCCTCTATATTACTTTATTATGCACCAAAGAATATTTTATTTAATATTCCTCATTCAACTAGGTATAAAATATGGAGTACATACTATACTTTTAACTTTTAAAAGTAAGATCTTACATTTTACTCACTATTTTGTCACATAAAAATGTAAAAAATTGTGTTTTTTTACATTTAACTGATTATTTCGTCACATTGAAAATGTCATTAATAAGGATGCTTTTAATTGAATTAAAATTTTTGGGTTTGATTTGGTTTGAACTCTGAAGTAATATGGTCTGTTAGATGTTTGTTTTACATTTTATGCGTCCTATTATTGTTATCATCATCATCATTATCATCATAATCATCATCATCATTAAAGTTTGATTTGAACAGATCTAGTTTGGGACTGAAATCAATCCACTTAAAAACATCCTAAAAATATTGAATATAATTAGGAACTTGTAAAAATATAAAGATTTCGTAATTTGGATTAGGAATCTATTTCAAAAGTGAAGACATATTTAAATTGTAGTTGTAAAAATAAAGAAACAACCAAACATATTTACGTTTTTGGCTAGGCTAAACGTATTTACTTGTGTGTATATATAATACACGTGCGCGTGCTCGCGCGCACACCAAGCATATAATGAATATTGCATTTTTTTCAACACACCAATGCACTTTTAATTTAGCGAGCCCAATAAAAGTTGTACATATTTACCATATTGCCACCGTATTTTTGCTTTAAAATTTGTTCCGATCCTTCATTTTTATCAATTTAAAGGTCTATATTAATTCTTATTTTTCACCCAGGGATCATTTTTTATTTGAATCAATCCCTATGTGTGTGTATGTGTACGTGTGTGATATCAATATTCATCATTATTAAATAAAAGTAAGCTACTTGATCAGAAATATTCTTTTTAAATGATTCTATATTTGAATGTCTAATAGTATTAATTTCGTTTTAAATTTCAACAATCTGGTTGTGATAATTTTCATCATTGTGTTAATAAATTAAGAAAGAATTGTATGAAGATGCAAAAAAATATGAAGTATTAAAACAATTGTTGGGGCTTAGAATCTTAATCATGATCTCAATAGTGAGTTTAAAAAAATAAAATATTACGGAGTACATTTTTTGAAATGCGACGGTATTATTACAATTTTTTATTTTTATTAAATATTTTTGAAGACAAAATTAATTACAATTTGACTTTGTTGAGTTTAATCCAACACGATATAGTAAATATATATGTATAAATGTGTATGAACAACTCAGTCTTTACGTGGAAACCCGAAAGGGAGAAAACCACGGGACTTTTTAGGCTAATGTCCAAGCCCTCTCATTCTCATTAGTCTCTCCTCACCATTACATAGTACATTTTGAGCTCCCATTAATGGAGTCTTGTAAGCTAACTAAGAAGGAGGGAGAAGAAGCTAAAAAGGGGATCCCCAAAACATGGAGGGAAGCCTCATATTTATAGGGGAAAGGGGAAGGGTGCTCTCCACCCTAATGGGCCAAACGGGCCTACTGGGCCAAGGTGGGCCGGGTGGCCAGAATGGGCCGAAACGGGCCTTACCGGACGGGCTCCGTACTATATCAAGTCTTGGGCTCCTGAACAGTAACGGACCGGGATAATATATCCCAACAGACTTATTTCTGTTAAGTGGGCAAAAAACGGATAAATCATTTATTAAATAGAATGTAATAAAAATAAAAAGTATAAAAGCAATCAAATAATTTTTATTGCATGCTAAAAATAATTATTCCTGCATGCTACAAGTAATTAAAAGTACTCCGTATAAAATATAGTCTATGTGTATGGTTGGTTATTAATTGTTATGGTTCCAACTACTGAATTTAATGTAGTTATAAAATACTTAGTACGTAATATGTTTGGAAAAAGTTACCAAATAAGGTAAATATCAATCTAACAGTGTTTTGTTTCCATATCAATATGCAATTAAAAATAGAATCTAATAAAAATAAAAGGTATATAGATAACTAAATAATTGTTATATATGATGGTCGGATGACATGGCAGGATTATGTGGCGCTTTATATGCTCTTAAAAAGTTCCTCTTATATATATATATATATATATATATATATATATATATATATATATATATATATATATATATATATATATATATATATATATATATATATATAGAATAGAGATCAAATACAAAGCCTTCTTAATTTACAAAGTACAAACTCATCTTGACCGTCCGATGAGTTGATCCAAAGGACATAAAGGCAAGGTGGCATTTTTGTAATAAAACCCAACTTTTTAGGGTGCAACTCGTTGCACCTTAATGTGCAACTGTTATTTTTATGACTTTATAATGTGCAATACTTTGAACCTCAATATGCAATGCAAATAACGTCAAGGTGCATCGTACAAATATTTGCACAATAAGCACACTTTGTACTTGATCTTTCCCCTATATATATATATATATATATATATATATATATATAGAGAGAGAGAGAGAGAGAGAGAGTTTGGTTCAAATAAGAATATCATCTAATGAGAGAATTGAGAATACACTATAACCGTTGGATTTGTCAAGTTTTAAGTATCGTTACGGCTTCACTTAAGGGACTAATATGACATTTCACTAATCTTCCTTATTTTGCTCGCCTGATTGCTTCTCCCTTTTTTTTCGGTGCATTAACTACGGAGTATCTTTTTTATCCATTATGTAGGACTTAATTATCTACATGCTTATTTATTTATTTATTTATTTATTTATTTATTTATTTATTTATTTATTTATTTATTTATTTATTTATTTATTTATTTATTTATTTATTTATTTATTTATTTATTTATTTATTTATTTATTTCTATCATTTACGTATTAAAATTTATATTTGCCTTATGAATATAGTACTTCATTATATTACGTACATATTTTGATCTACTTATAATTACTTCCTTTCAAGGCTGCATTCCTTTTTTCATATTGTGTAACTTTATTTTATTTTAAATATTATATCAATGTAAACAATCCGTGCACCTTTAAATATCTTTACCATGCACTTTCAATATTATTTTTGCAAATAATTATCATAAATTTATCAATATTATATTATTGTAATTGTGCACTTTTGATATGCTTCATTCGTTCTTAAATAAGTGAAACGGTCCACCTTTCACATTGTCGATACACAACTTTGACCATTAATATATATAGTTCTCTATTAGCAAAAAAAATTTAAAAAAAAATCAGATTTGGAAAATTTGCAATGAGATAAATTTAACAATATTATAAAAAAATAATTCATTAATACATTAATACAAAAGACAAAGTAGAGAATCGAGAATGAATATGGACCATTGGATTGTATTATGTGAAACATAATTGTGCGTTTGGTAAAACTGAAACGTGCATTAGATGAAATTGAAACGTGCAGAATAAAAGGTTAAACTCAAATGTGTATTAAGTGAAATTGAAATGTGAAGAATAAAAGGTTAAACTCAAATGTGCATTAGGTGAAATTGAAATGTGCACAATAAAAGGTACAAAATTGACATCACACCATACCTTTTATTCTGCACATTTCAGTTTCATCTAATGCACATTTCAATTTCACCAAATGCAAAATTCAACTTCACATAATGTCATTATATCTTACCCTTTGTGTTGCACATTTCAATTTCACATAATGCACATTTCAGTTTCATCTAATTCAGTACGTGTATGGAATTGCATACCTGTATGCCCAAAGTGCAGTATAATGTTTAGAAAGTGCAAAATAATTAATATAAACGTGCAGTTTACAAAAGTGCATATTAACGTGATAAAATGATATTTCTCTTCACATTTGTTTTATTGATGAATGATGTTGATTATTTAAATTACTATTTTTGAAAATTGAAATATTTAATTAAAATGATGTTACATAAAATTTTGAATAAAAGTGCGGCTATTTTATACTTGAGTGTAAATTATGTGATATAACTCGTGCAAAGTGTTTTGAATAAAAGTGCACAGGTACAAAATTTTAATGCAAACCTTTCTATCACACTAAAGTTGAATATAAAGTATTTAGTTTAGAAAGAAGCAAGACGTGATCAATACAAAGAAATAAAAATTGATTAAAAAAAGATTTCAATAACCAAATTGAAGAAAGTACATATTTTGGAAAACAAAATACGGTGGGTATCAGGTGGAGGAATTAGTTTCCCTAATCATTAGGAAATAAGCATGACATGTTTCCATAAAGTAATCGTGCTTTCCATTCACGACTTTGACATCTTGTACAAAAATGCCCTTTAGTTATTAAACGTATACATTATTTCCTATTTTCCCTCCCACGACGTGTGTTATAGCCGATCTTGACATTCCATTTAGTCTCTGTTTTAAGCCGTGCGATTTATAATATGGTTGGTTAGATTTCGTTCTCATTTCTCTTCTAAGAGAGTGTTCTCACCTGAACCATTCCCTATATATATATATATATATTGGCTGACTATGAAATGATTATTTCTATAGCATGCAATACTTTTTTATTGACATTTGTTCATGAATATTTCCAAATTACTTCAAAAGACAAAAATATGACTTGTTTTAATTCACTCTGATATACACTATAGTGACTCTTGTCCAATTACTCATACATAGTGACTAGTCATATTTTTGTCCAAAAACATAACTAGTCATATTTTTGTACGGTGAAAGCGTGAAGCTCTATTAGTAATACACATCTATTTTTCTTTGTTATTCATTGATCAGTTATAGTTTATATAATTTAAATTATTTTCTCTTTACATATTTGTTTCTGAAAAAAGTGGTAGGTTATACAAATGTTTGGTTGGTGTGCAGATGACTACCTAAGCCAACATTGCAACACAAACTTTTTGAAATGTATGACCACATTCGAGAAATCCAATGCTTTGACGTTTAAAGGCAACACTTGCGATGTGGAAGAGGTTGTGAATATTATCAGTGATGTCATAGATGCTGCCATTATCGCTGGGAAAATATTCCACAAACCTTGAATTATGCCTTATCTGCATTAGCCAACACAGCAGACACCTCTTGACATGTTTAGTTAAACAAAACAGTCCAGAGAAAAACTTGTAATTTGTGTGTTCTTTCATCTTGTTTTTTTTTTACTGCATTTTGTGTTTTGAGTACTTTTCTGTGAGAATACACTAGTTGGGTTAAATCTAGTAGCTAGTGTTGTGTTGGAGAGTTGGAGGTATTAGATTCTTTTTGTTGAAGTAAACTAGTTGGGTTAATAAACTATCATATTAGATATCATACTAGTTGGGTTAATAAACTATCATATTCTTAGGTCTGTTTGCAACAGCTTCTGCTTTTAAAAAAATGCTTTTTTTAATGAAATGGGGAGAAGTGATTAAATAAAAGTTGATAGTGTTTGAGAAAAAAGTGATTTTGAAAAGTAAAAGTGGATAGTGTTTGGTAAAATAAGTGCTTTTTGTGTAATAGAAAAAGTAAAAGCACGTTTGACGCGGAAGCCGAGAAAAATAAAAGTTGTAGTGTTTGGGAAAATAAGTGCTTTTTTAAAGCCAAAAGCTCAGAAGTTCTTTTTTAAAAGGAGTTGCAAACCAACCCTTATCTGGTTTGGGAGCAACTGGTTCCCAATCCCAAATCCCCTTTCTCGGAAGTCGGAACCAAAATCGGAATTTCCGAGTAAGGTTTTATTCAGTCCAAAAGTGGATCAGGATCCTCTGCCGCACATAGGGGGTGAGCATTCGGTCGGTCGGTCGGTCAAATAACCGACCGATAACCGAATAACCGATCAAGTTTTTTCACTTTGATAACTGACCGAAAAACGACCCATAACATCACTATAACCGACCGAAAAACGTAGTTCGATTTGTTCAGTAACCGAATAACCGACAATAACCGACCATATAAATTTTTTAAGCATATTCTTTTCAAAAATTTGAATGCTTTAAATAACTATATTAGAAAAAACATTTGATACAAAAATGGATGAAAATAATTGTTTTTTACACTACAAAACAAAATGAATGAAATAATTGATCATACTCAGTATATAAAATGTTTTTTCTTCATTCATGAAATAAACAAGAAGAAATGAATTAAATTATTTCATAATAAAATTAGTTTTCTTACGTTGTTGGTAGCTTTTCTTGTACATGAGTGTCATTTTATGTCTTTTGGGTCAACCACTAAATACTAAATACATGAAATTTATTTAAAAAATGAGGGATTTCCTTAAATATTACTAAAGTAAACTTAAATATGACTAAAGTTAACATGAGTATACCATTCATGATTACTATAATATAAAATTGAACACAATCATGCACATCAAAATTACAATTATAGTCATTAAAGTATGAAAAGACATATTTGTATCCATGATATTCAATTTGGTCATATATTTGACATTATTTCTTTGAGTAATTATGATATGTACATACAAATGATTATATGGAGCAGACTATACTTCGGTTTTCGGTTAACCGACCGATAACTGATTAAAATAACCAACCATTAACGGAATAACCGAATAACCGACTTCTTTTAATATGTAATAACCGATGACCGACCGATAACCGACCTTTTGAGTCGGTACGGGTAACGGTTTTCGGTTTTATCGATTTTGTCGGTTATTTGCTCACCCCTAGTTGCACAGCAGGGTCCCTCGAGTAGAAAAAGTGTGGACCTCAACATCTCCAGCCGTTGAAATTGCGATCAGACGTCTGTGAAGTAGCAAAGCACTCTATCTTGCTCTAAAGCAAGGTAGATGCTCCGGATCCAGTCTAAATAGTCGTTACGATCCGATCATAATACCCTATTGTAAGAATAAGAATATTTTTACTTGAATTAGTTTCAGTTACAGGCCAAACATAAATAGATCAGTTCAAACTTATATAGAATGCAAAATAAGGATAATTATAAAACACACATAATCCAGACAAACTTATATAGAATGCAAAATAAGGATAATTATAAAACACACATAATCCAGACATGTATCATGCCGATTAAAAACATTTCAAGTAAAAGATACACTTACGACAAAGTGGTAGTATATAATAATTATAGAAAAAATGAATTAATATAAATATGAAAGATCCGTATAGTTTGTTGAAAAGATGTTCTACATGCTAAATGCTCCCAGTATCCTGGTTGAAATCTATTTTACAAATTACAAAAGTGGCTTATTAACTTTATTTGTGTGTGTCAAGAAACATATAGGGGACTGAACTCATTTAAGGCTTTAGGCATTTAAATTCTATATGAAAATCTAAACTAAAAGAAACCCGGGTGAACCCAATTCTTCAAGCATTGAAATCAGGATCTTTCAAAGTCTACACTATCTTCTACAGAATTTCTTCATTTAAGAAGCAGTTCCCAAAAGGCAGTTGCTGCTACCAGAACTACCCATAGCACATGATGTATCGCGGACAAGAAACCTGACGCAGTGAGTGCCTTGGTAATCCATGATCTCCATACACTCCCGCAAATCAGCGTCATTTACCAGCATCACCCACTCCTCTTCATCATCAAGATACTTGAGCTGGAATGTCCCACTCTGCAGCCCAAACCTCCTACCAACTTCTTCATAGATTCGGGAACACCCTACTGAACTCTCAAACTTAATACGGACTGTGTCTTCTTTGTATGTAGCTTTCACTGTAATTCTGGAACCACTATCCCCACAATTCACCTCAGCTTTCCAGTGCTTCTGTTCACCAAAGCTTTGTGAGCTTGAGCAACACCCGTTCATCACCGGCCCTGATCCATTTGAAGAGTCTGTCATGCTTGAAGAAGCTGGTTGGTTATGCTCTCCAGTCACAATGTGCATCATCTTTGTCTGTGTTTCATTGCAGAGACCAATGGAGCTCGACTTTTTGGACCATTTACATTTGCTTCTTTCTCTGATGAGCAAAGAATCTAAGGATGTGTTTCCCAAACCAGTCCATGCTATGGTGTTCAAGCCAGCATCTTGTGGAACGGTCAATTTGGAGTCATGGCAACACTCTGACAACGGAATAGTAGATCTATGCTCACCCTTACAAGAGCTTGGACTGAGAATATGTAGCTTGTTTCCTTCCACGATGGGGCCTGCTTCCATTTTTGTTGCAGGACTTCCATCACCAATGCGGGAAGCGGGGGATGATGCATCCGGCAGGAAAAGGGACTCCTTTTCTTTGGTAGGAACGTTCTTGCAGGGAAAGAGAACACCTTTTGGTGCGCCAAAATCTTTAAGGATTGAGCCAGCAGCCAGCAGCCCCCCACTGCTTGGATCAAATTTTAGTCCTCCTTCCACACCTTGGACAGATTCGAGTACAGTTTGTATTTTCTTTAAAGAGCGGTTTACTTTGTTTATCTTGCGGGATGGCCATCTTGATATACCGTGTTGTCTACATATCCGTTTCAATGTTGTTGGACACACTACAAGAACACACAATTGATTAAGTTAATACATCATCCTCACAGATAACACAAAATTGGAGAGATTTGGCCAATTTACAGCTGAAGTTTTAGTCAATTATATAACACTTTTTCTCCCTTAAGTTAAAGATCATTCTTTAATTGTTTTCTTACTAAGATTTACAAGAACACACAATTGAACAAGTTAATAATAAGCTCGTCTGGACTATACCATTTAAAAAGCAGATGTTGCAATTTTTAGTTTTTTTCATCTTAAAGAGGCACGCACCATTTACAGTCCAATACCTTGTCTGGATTATACAGATTTTTTTCTTAAGGTCAAATATCCTCACAGCCCATTATTTTCTCATAGGAGCCCATATCATGATTGCGGGTAAGATTGGCTCTCAATTCTTGGGACCCCCTCATAAAAAGTTAACATAAAACCGTAGCCTGATTGAAAGAGTAATGGAAAATCTTATTGATAGTTTGTTATGACAAACTCTTCAGCTAAAACCTCAATGTCAGGTACTCAAGTAGAGGTCCAAAAAAATAATTGTGCAAACACTTACCACCAATGGCTCTAGCAGCATCCTTGAGACTCCCAGAGAAATGCTGCTGAAGAACACTTAAGCTAACATGCTTCTCTGCCGTACTTCGCTTTTTCTCCATCTGCCTTCTTGATCCAGTCTTCTATGGAGGCAATTCAATGGAGGCACAGTTACAATGCGAGACATAAACATAATGAATTGAATAAGAAGCATAAAATATGTCATATTGTAATGGGAAAAAGTGGTGTGGGCTCTGCCTTCTTAGATAAAAACAAATCATTGAAAAAGGTGGGTTTTTTAGCACATATAGGGATTTATTTTTCAGGTGGGGTTGCTGTTATTTGGTGAACTGTAGGTCCAAGAAAGGCGTATACTACAAACTTACACCATAGTGATCCGCATAGATGTAAGGGAAAAAAACAATGAAACGTGTACCTCTTGTTGAGCACTGTTAGGACCAATTCCAGGACTCTCTGAAGCAGATACATTCAAATGCACCTCATCCGTACGATCCAAGGTGCTGTCTAGAAGTGATTGTCGTGAGCATCGTGCCAATGGAATTGGTGGTATGTTTGGAGAAGATGCATTCCCTGGTCCACACTTGGAACCGTCTCCATTCCTGAGTTCTGCATCAGAGACTGTCCTCAATGTCTTACAAATCCTTTGCATGGTACCAGATAAGTTATTTACGAGGAGTTGTTGTTCAGTACTTCCCTTCATATCAAGAGGAAGAAAAAACTCCAAAATATAATCATCATTCCCGGTGAAAGTACTGCATAACCTAATGGCAACAGCGGCATTAAGGCCAAACTTCCGTGCATGATGAACGAGTGGATACTCGCTTATATGGTATTCCTTCACATCTGGATAAAAAAAGGGGTGATTGGACTGAAGAGCTTTCCCAGCAATTCCTTGTCCTTCCTCAAGGTAATGTTCCATGCATGCATGCACAAATTCTAGCATCTCCTTGTCACTGATATAGCTAGCACTACTCTCAATACAAAGAATGCTTTTCTCAATTGAGTCCGAGCTGCATCCTTTACATCGCACCCTTCTAATTTCATCATTGTCTTCTCCTGTATAAATACAAGGAATCCATGTGAGGGCGAGTGGTAGTTTATGTGCATGACATACAGCTCGCAAAACATCAGTTATCTCAGCTAAAGCAGATTTTTGATTTGTTGAAAGGCACTGCAATCAAGCACGAACAGAATAAGAAGCCTAGACAATAAAACTTTTGTGAAAAATTAAATCAAGCCTGATGGTTTTTTTTTTTACAAATGCATGTCAAAGCCACATATATTTAGGGGGGAACCTGAGGATAGAGACGTGGAGATGCAATGCTCCTCAAATTCACTGCCTGTAAATAGCCAGATAGAGAAATTACACCTTTTCTATGAAATAAAAGGAGGGTGCCCATGCAAACTATAACTATACAGATACAAACCCTCTAGAAGCACTACTTCCCCTTGCCACAAATTCTCCCTCCTGTCTCCAGCGTCAGTGCATCATGATTTACAATTCATTATTATTCATTTGTTTGCAGTATGGCATTCACAACTCATTCAAGACTATACCCAGCCACTGCCATAGTTGGAATACCAAACAACTCCCATAGTTTGGAATCTTTCTATGAGACGTCAAGGGTCTGTTTGGAACTCGGAAATGCTAAGGAGAGAAAAATTGAAGGAAAATATAGGATATATTAGCAAGAAAATGTTGTGTGACGAAAAATAATTTATTGGTTTAAACTCGATAATGTTTTTAGGACTTGCTCAAATTCATTACTCCATTAGTTTCTATTATTATATGTTCAAATTCATTACTTCATTAATTTATATTATTATATACTTAATTGAATTCACATTGGATGTAAATGTGACACGCTAATTTCTAATCTTAGGACATAAATGTTACCACATGCAACTCCCCAATTAGAAACACAATTACCAACATGCAACTGGCCAGTTGATTGTAACTATGTTGGTTCTATCCAATGGGTTTTTATATAGCACAACTTAATATTTAAGGAACAATCTATATTTAAAAACATTAATCAAATTTCACTTTTCTTTGCATTTTCTTTATTGTCCTCTTTCCATTCCTTAGGACTTTTCCGGATTCAAACACCGCTCACATGTCTCAAATAGGAGAATTTAGCATTTGACATATACCTTTACCCGAAGCAAGATGAAAGGAGGTATACTAAATAAACTTGCATATTCATGGGAATGTAGGATTAAGTATGTAAAAGTATATGAAAAGACCTATAAAATAACTAACCTGTAGCGCACGGCAAACCTTTTCAATTTCGGAATTAAAATCGGGTTTCTCCTTCATGGTGATAACTTCAAGTACAGCACAACATGGTTTTTCACTTGGATCGTCCTCGAAAACGGGTAACGCAATGCAGCCACGTATGTCATGGTTAACTGCATGATGTATGCGCAGATATTCAGCCTCCCTATAGTATGCAATATTTGATGTCCACTCTGGAATCCTTGAAGAGAATACGCGGCCAGGAAGTCCTGGGGAAGAGCCTGGTTTGGTGACTGCGTCAAAAGTGAAATTACTTGACACCTCACGATATCCAGCAAGAGCATGGTCAAGTAGATATGGCTGCTCATGAGTGCTTAGTAAGTACTTATCACCCCTTTTCATTGGAAACCAGACTTGGGCCAAGATGCCTCCACCTGATGATGACTCTTTAAATAATCCCAATGCAGTAAGCATTCTTACTGGAAGAGGTTCAGAAGGTGATTTTGGGATCATAGGATTTCCTAAATCCTCAATGGCACTCTGCTGGCCTTGAATCCTCCAAGTATTACCAACTACATCAATAGAACTAAGGGAAGAGTGTAATTGATCATTCTGTTGAAAAATCATTTCATCGTCCTCATCGTCTATACTGTCTGTGATATCAGCAGCATCCATCATTGAGAAAACACCGCTGTTCTGTTCAGGATAATATAAACCGTCAAAAGGTGCGCATCCCACTGGAGTATGTGGTGAAAATGAATAGGAGGCAAACGTTTGATCCATGGTGACAGGACTGTTGCACCATCCCGCATATGCATCAAAATTCAAAAAGTCCATAGCAGTGGCATTGAAAGAATCTTCTGCAATTGAGCACTTTGTGCCATCAAACAACGCTTTATAACCTTCCATCTGACAGTAACCTGTAATTACCTTTCTCTGTTTCCAGCCCAGCTTCAAGAAGTTCCACAAGAAACAAACTTGTGAAAGCTAGGAAACTCTCAGCTGTCTCATATAGAGTATTCTGTCCCTGAAATCCATCCACAGCCTAATAACCCAATATCTTAACATCAAGTTCATCCACCCCAGGTAAATTGGGGCTATATGGATTTCCCTGAAAATTATCCAATCCTATATTTGAAATACTCAACGCCTGCAATCCCACAAATCAAACAGTTACTGAGTAACATTCAATAAAAGATTTCGAAACGAGAGGAAGAGAGGAGTTCAGCCATTTTCAACCACAATAAAAAAAAAACTAATACACAGAACGTTCTGGCAAAGGCATAAACAGAGGCGGTTAAAATGACACTCCAGAACCAACCGATTTCTGAAGTGCGAGAAGTCAGGAGCCGCCAAGCAAACCAAACATCCAGAATTTAGTTTTATACTTTAAAATTCATGACCGTCTTCGTAACCCGAACCACATAGCCGACGTAAATAAAAATTAAAAACTGGATTCGATTATACGAAACGTTCTATTCTATTGATAAATATAGGACTAGGGGAGCAGTAAACAAAGGCATTAACCTAGGAAAATGACGTTTGTACTCATTTTTATACCCACCCATGTTTGTGAAGTTATTTTTTTTGTCTGTAAATACTTTTACACACAAAATATGTCTGTGAAGGAATTCAAAGACATATTTTGTACTTCATAGACAAAAAAATACTCCCTCCGTCCCTTAAAACTTTGCCAACTTTCCATTTTTGGATGTCCCACTAACTTTGCCACTTTCCAATTTAAGTAAAGAATTTGTGGTTCCAACTAATTCTCTCTCCTCTGTACAAACCTCAACCACACAGTTTTTACTTTATTAATCTCCGTGCCGGTCAAACTTGGCAAAATTTTAAGGGACGGAGGTAGTAGTTTTCACAGAAGTAACCCTATATGGTTAACCCTATATTCATTTGATTTGACTTTGTTTCGGGGCATTTCCAAGAAAAATCAATTTGTACCTCTTCTACTAATTGAAGAGAGCAGCAGGAGCTGCGCTGAGCTAACAGTGAGCAGACACTCGAATTTTCTGACCATGGCACGTGGACGAAAAGGAACTATGGGGACTACAGGGGTTTAGGTGTCAAACAACATGGAAATAAGTAGGTCTGGGACCGGTTCCTACGCAAAACGGTTCGGTTCGGACCGGTTCGGTTCCTACGCAAAACGTGTGAAACCGTTTGAAAATATGAAATTTTATTAACGGTTCGGTTCTTATAAATTATTTTATACTCCGTAGAACCGATAAAAAACCGAACCATTCTTACCGGTTCGGTTCTTGTCATTTAACGATTCTTAGTCTTTAATTTTTTTTTTCAAATCACCGTTAAATTTGGAAATTATGGCACAAGTATGACTATGCCCTCACAACTTCTATTAGGCATAAATGTGATTGGATTTCTTTTTTACTGAAAAGTGACTTCCCCCTCTTCTAAAAACTTGTCTGTTCCCCTTCTTCTCAAATTGTCCGCTCCCCCTTCTTCTCAAAATCGCCGGCTCCCCTTCTTCATTCCTCCTACGAACGAATTGAATCCCATAGACGGAGAAAGCTTCGATGTAGCAGCGCCAATCACCATCTTGCATCTCGCATGTAAGCTCTGCTGTCGCCATGGAGGACAAAGTCGCCGCCTTGAGATCTGCTGCTACCATGGACAGAGCAGACGGATCGCCGCCTCCGCCGCCCTGGACTTCGTCGTCCTCGCCCAGACAGCGTCTCTGTCGCCGCCCTTCGCACATGGATTGTTTCTTTCACTTCTGTCCTCTCCCTGGATTTTCAGATCTGCGATTTGGGTCATAGGGCAGCGAATAGAGTTATTGGCGGAGGTTTGGGATTGCCGTTGGGGATGGCGGTTGGGGCTAGGGTTGGGGACTGTCGGTTGGTTTTGGGGGTTGAGGGCTGGGGCAGGTCCGGTGGTGTGGCATGTGGGGCAGGGCTGATGGGGGATGGGGCACTGCTTGTGGGGCTGGGGGCTGGGGTGATGACTGATGAGGACAGGGTTGGGGCTGGGGCTGTGTTGGGTTGATGGGGTGGTGCAGCCGTGCATGGCTGTGGTGATGGTAGTGGGGTAGGGCAGGGAGGCGAGGTGTTGCGGGAACAACCCCCGTTATGCCGGGCGGCTGTGGTGGTGGTGACTTAACTGGCGGGGTCTAAGGTGGACCGCGTCGCTAAACGAAAACGACCATAGTGACATGTTTCACGGCGTTAGTGACACGAGCGGTGGCTATAGTGACACGGGCGGTGATTACAGTGACAAGGACGGTGTTTACTGTGACACAAGCGGCGGCTTTAGTGACATGGGCGGTGGCTACAATGACATGAGCGGTGGCTACAGTGACACGAGCGGTGACAGCAGTGACATTTGATAGTGACATTGAAACAGGATAGTGACATTAAAATTTGGGAATGCCATTGATCTGACCTTCTTGATCACTTTTTTGCCCCTTTTCAAAAGTGTTCACTTTTTTGGTAATTGGTTCAAAATTAGTAATATTCAAATAAAAACCCCTTAAATTTGTGTCAAAAAGACATTCAACGTTTGAAATTACAATACAAATATGTTGAACATTATTTCAAACTTCAAAAGTTGAGTTTAAAACATAAATACATAACAAACCACAAAATTTAGTAAATAAAACAAAACAAGATATTCACTAAAGAAGCTCAAGAGAACCCGTTAAAATGAAAAATAATTTTAAATACTTAAATAACTTAACTATAATCGTGAACATAATATAAAAATGGATAAGTAAATATATATACTAATAAGAAATATATATAATTTCAATTATTATATATAACGGTTCCTCAACGGTTCCATGTGCATATATTTTTCAGGAACCGAGAACCGAACCGTTCATAGAAAATAGGAATCGAACCATTAACAAATAACAAATAAATTATGGAAGCGAACTGAACCGGGTCATAACGGTTCGGTCCGGTTCGGTTCTCTGGTTCTTGGTTCCAAAGTTCCAGTCCTAGAAATAAGAACGATATACGTAGTACATCTTTGAATGCCTTTGATTCACTTGTGTGTCTATGCAGATAGAATTTCTGTATATATGGACAATTCTGTAGGATCCCAAGGCTAACCGCAAGTCAGCCCGTCAACAAATCTAACCCCCCCCCCTCCAGTTTATATGTATTCACTCAGTCAATTCAGTTTTTCTCTGCAACCCAGCACCGCCAATCTATTCACTCCGCATGTTTTTATTAAATGCATAAATCCTTAGTTATTTTATTACACATCATTTATGTGATAATTTTATTTTGACCAATAATTATTGTTTAAAAAATCAAACATTTCGATGTAAAAAATAAGGCAAAAATGACCGCAACAAATAGCTATTATTCTAGATTTCTAGTAGTGACAATAGCCCATCGCATTTGTAAAATGCTAAACGCTCTTTCTGAAATAAAAACCCAGCTGCAAATCAAAATGGCTGAAATAAGTGGAGACCATTCCACTCGCAAGGCTACTGCCAAAACCCAAGCATAAAGCTCCACCATTCGTTTCTTCTCTGCGCATGTCAGTCCAAGACAACTGCATTTCCTCCTCTCCACATGTCACTGGCCCACAAGAGTCAATTGCCCTCCTATATATTAGACCTGTACAAAACCGGGCCCGCCCAGCCCGCCCACACAAATAAGCGGGCTTGGGCATATATATTTACCCACCGGCCCGGCCCGGGCCCGGCCCGCATCAACATATGGGCGGGCTTGGGTTAGGGTGTAGGCCCGTTCGGGCCGATAAGCCCGGCCCGCTACATTTAGTATATATACATATATATTTTTATATATGCTAATTTATGTATTTATTTACATGTACACTTGTATATTTTTATATTTGCTAATTTATCTGTATACATATTTATAGTTTATTATGTTTAAATTTAAGTTTTTAGTTCTTAACAAATAGTCCAACCAATATAATATCTATTTTTGTACTTAAAGATAATACTTTGTGCTTGAATTTTAAATTTTAGATATAGTTTCTCATTATTATTTTTGCGTAAATATTTTTTGTGTATGTGATGAAAGGCCTATATACATTATAAGCATATTAGCAATTTTTTAAATGCTGTAATATTATTTATTAAGTATTAAATAAATTGTATAATTTTGAAAAAGTTAAAGTTTTACCGGGCCCGGCGGCCCGGTGGACTACCCGGCCCGCTCTTACGGGCGGGTATGGACATGGGGTTAGGCCCGGCCCGCCCATACACGATGGGCAGAAAACTTATGAAAAGCCCGGCCCGAGCCCGGCCCGAGCCCGCTTTTGTGCAGGTCTACTATATATCACTCCCCTCCGTTCTAGCAACTCCCGCCAGCCCCTCCATATACGGAATTTTCGTCCGATTGCAGCAGTTTTGGAGTGAAAAACCTCATATTTGGATTTTTCACCCCCCATTGCAATCAGTCTAAAACCTAGGTTTAGGTTGCATGAAAATCGTCTTGTGTGTATACTGACATTAATTAGTTCTCGATATGCAAACAAAAAATGTGTGTGTATAATTTTTGTCTATGTACATAGACATTGGTTTTTGCGCAATCTAACTCTTACGTCTCTGCAACCTTTTTGTCTGTGTACACTGACACCCAAAGAAAATCTATGTTTGTACTTTGTATACATACTTTTTTATCTGTGGCGAAATATTAAAAAATCCTACAAGTTTTCAGATTTCTTTGTCGCTATAAACAAGTTATATCATTATTCAATATGAGGAATGCAATATTTTATATGCCACACAGATTAATAAATCAGCGGTCATATAATTATAGTTTTCCGGAGACTTTCCGTTGACTCTCAAACATTAATTTTTTCCGGAGTACAGACAAAAATAGATATGAAGACGTTGATGGAAGATGATGGTGGAGATAGAGTATGAATAGAAGGTAAAAAGAAAGAAAATGAGAGAATAATAGAAAAGAATGATTCATATGATTGAGAGAGGGGGTGAATGATAAAACAAATTAGGGATAGTTTATATAGGGTGCACCCCGGGGAATGAAGGACAAAATGTCATTATTGTATTCACATCAACCCATTTTAGTCTTTGAAAAAAACTTCAATGCCACTATTTTATATGTCACGTCTTAAACTTATCGGTTGTACGTCTTAGAAAGTGTTTGTATTTGTTTGTGCTTTTCAAAATTGACATTTTGCAGTAAAAGTTGGTAGTGTTTGAAATTAAGGGCCTGTTTGGTAACGGCTGCAACGGCTGATAAGGCTGAATAGGCTGAATGTGCTGAAGTGAAAGTGTTTGGTGATATGTTGGCTGAAATGGCTGATTGAGTGTAAAATTACTGTAAAGGGTATTAGTTTTTTGTGTTAAATATATGGAGTGTGTAAACTTTGCTAGTAAATTAATTTTGCTTGATTAGGTAATTATAAGATTGCTTTAATAATTTCACTGCCTCGGATTTTTACACATTTTTTGGAATATGAGCAACATTATTAAAAAA